TTGATTTTCAAAAGCAGCCTGCCGTTTTGCTTCTGCAAATAATTATAGACTCATATTTTAACAGTTAGATGTCTAAGTGCTTGCATCCATTTATGAGGAAGTTGGAGATCTAACTACAACAAAATGTGAGCAAACTCACAAAACTGGAAGGAAGTTTGAGATGCTTCTAAAATTGATCAATCAATCAACAGCTGGATTGCCTTCCAAAACTTTATGGGAACAGAATGTCTTTTTTTGAATGAGGTCAGCATTGCTTCAAGAAGGAGTCCTGGAGTAGCCCATAAGCTAAGGTGCTTTAGAACATCCTGGGTTAATGTGAAAGAAACAGTCTAAGCCTGCTAGGGTTTTGTATCTCTACCAGGAATGCACAAAGGGCACTGGACTGTAGGCACACCGTTTCCTGTCGCTGCCTTACTCGGGCATTGCAACCACTTTGGCATCTCAATTTAAAGAGACAAATGGGATTGTCAGCTGGCTGGGACTGGTGTGTGCTGGCTGCCTGGGCTATCCTGATAGTCACCTTGTGCCAGCTGCCTGTGTAGGTGCCTGCCTTAGGCAGCTTGTTAGTAACACAGACTCAGTCGGGCACCTAGAATAGGTGGTGAGAAAGAAGATACTTCTTTTGAGTGGTTTGAAACTCTGTGCCCAGTGCTGCAAAAGCAGCATCCAGCATAGGTTCCCCAAGCCAACATTTGTCTTCCTCCCTGCTCTTCACTGTTGCTGCCTAGGGCAGTACCAGGCTATCTCTGCTCTAAAGAAAGCATTCTTCAACAAAGAGGCATTAACCACTCTCTCCTCTTTGCCAGAATAGGAGCCGTTCTGAAAAACACGAATTTGGTTTCAGTGAGGGGATGTGGGATGAATTTTAGAAATGCTATGCAGCTTTTACAAAATAACTGAGGGATGTGCCTGAATGAGGAAGAATGGGGCATGACTCAGTATGTGTGACACCCAACAGCATGAGATCCGTTCTATTACTCATGCAGGATGGAGCAGAAAAGATCTGTCAGTAATGCTCAGTTTACACATTGTTTTCACTTAAATACTTGACAGAAGAAACTTTCATTGCTTTATTTAGTATATTTTAGATCCAAGAAAGGATACTTGCTGTATATCTGAAAAACTATTCATCCCCGTGGCTGACTTACTAACGTACAAGAAACTGGCCCTTAGGACATAGCGGCCTGACTGCCATGTAAAGGGTCATCAGAGTGAGCACAAACACAACAGACTCTTATTTTAAAGCCCTTTTATATTGCCAGTGTGATGCAAAGTGATTGTGAAACGGAGAATGAGCCCATTATAAATGTCTGTAACGTGATAAAAATTGCTGACTGTTACTGTGTCATGCTCTCCCTCAAACTAAACTGTACACTCAAGGATAAACACATTCACAAATCTTAGCTGCTGTTCACAGATGAAAAACAAAAAAAAGTGCAAATGACATTTGAAGTTGTTCACTCAGCTGGGAGACTCCCCCACCCCCATCTTGTCTCCTGCAATTACCCTTTGCCCCTTTCCTCCAGCAGCTATTTCTTCCTAGCTGTTATGTTTTACCATCCTTCAAAAGACAGCGGCCCCACTCCTGCCGCCCGTCAGATGTGGTGAGTTAGATCTGACAGAAAGCCATCACCCGGGGAGGGTTGAGTCCAGCACCAGCGTCACCTCCAGTGCTCTCTCTGCAGTGCTAAGGGTAGCTGTTTCTCTCTCTCACCTCAGCAGAAGCAGAAGAAATACGAAATGGTTGTATTCCCCCCATTCCTGTAGAAGCATACCTTTTCCAAGTAGCCAGGTGGCCTTCAAAGGCAGGCTGAAGCTTTAATGCACAGCTCGTAGCAGTCTAAAATGTAGAGCAAGTCAAACATTTTGCAGCCTTCCAGCAGGAAGGAACCAGGCACTCCAGAGGACATGAGTGGAGGAGCAGCAGCCAGTGGGACAGCAGAAGTAGCCTGGCACTTGTTAAGTGGGAGCCATTGCTGGGTCATTCACCACTTCAAAAGACAGAGAGATCACATGAAGAGTCCACAAGGGTGCGGTTGGCTTTCTGTGTCACTTGGAGTTCCCTGATGTGCAGACAAGCAAACTGCTTCTGCAGCTTGTTCCTGGCAGATTTCGAAGTAAAGGAAATGGCCAGAGAAGACTTAGCAAACTATCAAATGGGTTTTCCACTTTAGCTCGGGAGAGAGGAAATGAGACAGCAGAGTGGGATTGATTTTCCTGGTGAGTTTGGCTCATCAACTCAATAAACAGTTCACTTGTCTTCCTGTCAAGGTCAACAGAGTGCCAGTGTGTCTCAATGTGCCCCTCAGGACCTTTTCTATTGCAGGGTTTGCTCAATTTTCAGTCAACCCTCATGGAGTTACGAGTTTGTCACAGTAATGCTGGTGCCTGGCCCGCCATGTCACTCAAAAAGAGGTGGCTTGACTGAGAGTTAAAAGTCCACACTGTGGAGGAACAGTCTGTTTCGTAGTTCCTGCCTTGGGGATCATATGTGGCAGTGGTGGAGCCTTTGAAACATGTGTGACATGTAGCTTGAACTGACAGCCTAAACTGAAGTCACTCCAGTTGGGTACAAAGGCTACTTTAGGAGAAGCTTGCCTGTTTATATAGGTTTCAGATAACTTCATTTTTTAAAAGTGCATGGAGTGCATCCAAAGCAAATAATTTTTCTGTGGTGAATGGAAAGACCAAAAGAAAAAGTCTGGAGAAAGGAGGATGGAAGGTCTTTCTTTAATGTCAAAGCTGACATAAACACGTCTAGTCCAAACTCTTCTCACAAGATAATTTTCTCAGCAAGACACAGATTGCTGCAATCTCTGTGAAGCAGCCTTTGAAGCTTCCCCTTATTGCTGTTATGGAGGAGGCAGGGTTGTCTTTGAGAATTTCTGCAGCACTGAAGTGTTCCTCCTCCAAAGGCTTTCACATGATCAGATAGTTGGTTGTTCCCAAACAGCTCCCTCTTTGGAACTTCTCTGCCATCATATAAAGGCAAACTGATAAGTCTGTTTTCCAAAATTACTACCTAAAAAAAAAAATAAAAAGGCTTCATTAAAAGTATTCTGACCAGCTCTATGTAAGGCCTCAGAGGCCCAGCTAAGAAGATGACAAATGGTGTTGGAAAGGAGCCACCAATTAGGAGACATCAATTTTTCTGTCAACAGGATAACCCCTTTTGTGAAACTTGTCATATGTTTATTCCTTCTCTGTTTGTGAAGGTAATTGTTTGGCAGGTGTATTTTGTGTGAGGGGAAGAATTTATCAATTGGGTTTTTTTGCAGTTGTCATTGCTTCACTGTTTTGAGTTCCTGTCTTGTGGGATAATTTCTCTGTTCAGAGTTCTTGCTCCGTAGTCTGTCTGTGGTCTGTAACTCTTCCACTCGCATTAATTTTAGGGAAAAAAAAGAAAGAATCTGTTTACTTCTACAGTGAGTTCTGAGGTGGAAACACTTGTGATGGCAGTAGGCACCTTGGGAGCATAGGACTTGGTGTTTGCTATGCCTTCAGGTTGCAAGCTTAGGAATGCTGCTATATGGGTGTTCCCAAAAAGGAAGAGAAACACATTTCTGAGCATTTCTTTCTTAAAAAATTATGTGTATTATGCTTGCATCCTAATAAGTGTTCTTCTCTATGTAATGGTTTAAGATACAGGTGAAGACATACAGATTTTTTTCCAGTTTACACAGTTCCTTTACCCACATTCAGAAAACTTGATAGCTTCCTCCTTTTACTATATAGGAAATTTTACTCACTCTACGTATGGGAAAATGTATATGTCTTTTTACTCATCTGCATACAGTGATTCACAGCTGCTGCCGTGTTCTTTAATAGTTTATTGCAAGTAATTTTATGATATCATCAGTAGCAAATGCTTAAGACATATTAGAAGAATCAAGGTAGTTCTGTGTATGTGGGCATAAGTGTAATCACAGAGAGCAAGAGCTGCCTGGACGTGCTGTATTTGGCAAGAGACTGAATGAAAAAGTCATATGGCTGGTGGGATTTCAGATGGGCACTGGTATATGTTGACACAACCTTAAAGCCTATCAGGTTCTTATCTGGGAAGCCAGCTTCAGGAAATGGAGCACATGATGACAAGTTTTTGAGGGGTGACTGAAAAGTTACAGCTGTGTAATGGGTTTCTACCGGGATGCTGAGTAGACCTGTGGGGTTTTTTGCCTGTGTTGTGGAGAAGGGCAGACTTGGCATAGGATAGTGGCCATTACTGGTAGATCAGGTATGCACCTCATCATCATCTGGTGTCAGGTCATGCTGCTCAGTGCTCAGCTAAGAGCTGTGTTGAGCATACGTGTTAATGAGCGCGATGGTTCTGTCCCAGATGCAGAACACATGCAGACCATCTCGTAGTGTTTAATATCGACGTAGTTATGACTCCACCTGTACGTGGCTGATCGGAAGTACTCATTACTGTTTTGAAATCAGACAAAATAGCAGTCAGTCTCACTGCCTCTAATGTGTGATAGGTCAGTGTCTGAGCACATCCTTCTCGCTGTGACCATGCCTTCAGAGAACATGCCAAGGGCAGGTTTTGGGACTCAAAAGTGCAAGCTACCAACTCTTTTTTAAAGTACCTTTACGCTGCAAAAGCAAAGCCACTTGTGCTACATAAGGTCTTGCTGTTTGTCTTCAGGGTGTAATTTGTGGGTTTTTTTTAAACTGATGGTGAGGCTCAGTCTGGCTTAACTGAGCAACCACCTTGGTGCTTGAGCTAAAGCGCTACTGCTGATTGGAGTGGAGTGCAGGAATCTCTGTTCAGATGGAAGATTGGCAGCTAGTGGCAGTTTAGTCCTTGCCTGTAAGCAACTTTTGTGTTTAGGGGTGAAATTTTCTGAAGTAAATGAGTGATTTAGAACCCAAAATCTCCACTTCATTTATTTCCAGGCTTTGGAGCGAGATCAATATTTCTCACTGTGTTTCTGTCTTTTTACAATACCGTCTGCCATGAAGATGCCCTCTTTTCTTACCTTGTTCCTCTTTTTCAGGTTGGCCTTCCTTCTATGATGTGATCAGTCCCGATGCAGTTACTTTCAACGATGATTTCTCCTATGGGATGCATCGGATTGAAATATCCTGCAGTCAGGTTAGTTTATAGCACACACAGACCATTCCAATGGCAAAGGCTGCAAAAATCATTACAGCATGCTGTACTTTCCCTAGAATTTTCAAACCTTTCAGTTCCATTAAATAGTAATCATTGTGAGAGAGCACAATGGGTCGTAGGTATAACAGCTGGGTGGAACGAGCTGAAGGCACAAAGGGCTCCTTGGAATGCACATTGTTGTCTCATGTGAGATTTAACAGAGCAGATGTAAATAGTTGGACTCGGTGCTGAGTCTACAAAAATTATCTTCCTGAAGGGGGTCCCTTCAAAGCGGCTCCTGAGCCTGGCCAACCGACTGCACACGTGAGCCGTTGAGAAGGAAGTTGAAAGCAGTGGAGCGACAGTCCGTGTGCTGATTCCATCACTGCGCATTACTGTGCAGCCATGCTAACTCGTTCCCAACATTCATTCCCAGCACTGTCCTAATGGCTGCCTCAAACGATCCCATCTGCCATAATAATGAAGTCAGCAGTCATTCAAAACATGCCCAAATTTTCCATTATCTATGTTGTTCTACTTTCTCTAATCCTTTGTGCTGCCCTCCTCTCTGAGAAGGGAATGGCATAATCATAACGGTTGGACTTGATGATCTTAAAAGTCTTTTCCAACTGAAACAATTCTATGATTACGTAGCACAGGGAGTAGCTGCTGCATTGGCGTTCAGCAGACGTACCCAGCAGCTTGCAGTCCTCTAGCTCCAGATGCTCAAACTCCTGCTGATAGAAGCAGCAGCTTCATTTGGGCAGTAATAATTTGCCGTTCTCTTTCCAGACAGTATTGGTGGAGGGATAACTGATTTCATCCCTGATGATATACATCCTTACTAGTCACTCAGTCCTTACACATAAATGCTCAGAGTGAGTTAAGAGGCTTCTCAAAAGGAGGCAAGATTGTTTTTGTGGAGAATCCATTAACTTCAGTCTGGCTAGAGGGTTTGGCCCAACGTGTTAATGGCAAAATCAGCATGTTTGCTAGTATGCAGTGTATACTAGATAATTCTGTGGTTTTGACATTGATTATATGCTTCACAAGATCCTTTTAATACTTGTTTGGAACACCTACTTTCCTAAAATCCCTAGCGAGCTAGCAATGGGACTGCAGACTGGGAATCTCGTACTTCACCCGTGGTTGCTTGTATAATAAAAATGGAACCCAGCCTCTTTAGCTCTGCTTAGTAGGCCTGAATAGTGCTAATACCAGCATACTGCCAACCTGCTGAGCCTGAATCTGCTGACGCCCTTCAGGAGATGTCCCAAACTTCTGGTTTTACCTGAGAGAAGTCCAAAGCAGTTTGTGATCAGGCCAAGGAACCTGGCAATGTCATTTACCTGTTGCCAAACAAAATAGTGTTAGCAGACCTGAGACCAGCAGTGTTAGCAGCAGTCACACGCTGACACCATAAAATTAAAGCAAAACCAAAAGCTGAATTTAAAGCATTAAGAAAATAATATGACCAGGGATGTTATATAATCTAGTGGCAACTCTCTTAACAGCTGCTCCAATATATTCCTGGGGCAATAACCCCACAGATGCTCAAGTCATGCAGGAAAATAGTCTGAGGAGTGGTGAGCATCTCTGCAGCCCCTGCTCAACACAGTTAATACCATCACATTGTGTATCCATAACAAGACTACTTCCTTCCCTCCTCAGGGCCCTAGGAATGTTAGTCACACATGCAGGTGCAAAAAAAAAACCCAACTGTTTTACTGCAGCCTGGAAAGCAATGGGATTGATATGGCAGGCCTTGGTAGAACTGGAGGGAAATACCCTCTGCCGCACCCAAAATCTTATTAATCCTTTGCAGATGAAAAAGTAGTAGATTTTTCTTTGAAAGTCCTTCCACCTGTCTGAGGGAATAAAAACCCTCTCTTTTAACGTTCTCCCTTATAGAAAGCAAACACAGGGGGGAAACTGCTGTAAAATTAATCAAAGACATCTATGGGATTATCCTAGAAATAACTTCTACAGTTTTTTGGCAACACACCACCCTGGATGTATTTAAAAAGTCAGTGATTGGTGACAGGTAGAAGTTAGTTACAAAGGCATTTGAGAAATACTTTAAAACTGGTTGCGTCTCTCTTTTTTTTCCTCTTCCCTACTTGAGAGTCCCTTCCCCTGAGGTCTCCCTAGCTTTATTTCTACCTGTGCAAGTCCGTGAAATTAGGTGGTCACAGAAGTACTGTTTGCACACTAATAGCTAGGACTTGACTACAGCAGCTGATTGCAAGCTGCTTTTCATGCCTCCCAGCAGCATATCAGAACCAGGAGGCTTGGGAGATCCAAACATACTGACAGCAGTGATACCCCTTTTCCTGCTCCCAAACGTGTACCCCAAATGCTTTACTGTTAACCGTTTCACCATCCCAGTGCATTCTGCCCAATATATTTACATACAAGGCCATAACAGGTGGTGGTTTATTTGGGGGAGACTTTGCAGATGTGTATGTATGTATCACAGAAAAAATGGGGGGTGTCTGTTGTGTGTGGGGAAGACAGTAAAATCAATTCATCCTTTGTACTCTCAGCGGAGGGCCAGGTGTCTTATACCGTGATACGAAGTATTGAATTACATTTCTTTTCAGGGCAGATGAGTTATAGAATCCTCTACAGAGAGAATTGCCACATAAATTTTTGGTGAGGGGTAATCTCAAAAGGTAACAAATTCTGCAATAATCCAATCCTGGTGTGATTCTGCCATCCCAAGAAGATGTAATGAGACCACTTTGGACCCTTAGGCAGCTTCTCAGGTTTTGTGAGGAAAACCTTTTTGATAGATTGTCTTTGTAGTCTGTATGTGAGTATATTACTCCCGCAGACCGTTTCTCTCTACGGTTTCTCTTGTTCTGTTTCTATCCAGCGGAGAGGGAATGATTTATTTTTGGTTAAATGTTAATCTGGAAAAGATCTGTTTAACACTTCTAGTCAGGAGGTTTTGAAGCATTCTTAGTTGAGATGAGATGATTTAATTAGGATGCTGGGCATTTAGAAAAATACTCTCTCTGGGACACTTGAGCTCTTTTAGATTTTTTTTCCCAAGGTATGGAAAAGCTTTATAATCAGGTGAAATGCTTCATTGTGAGAGACCACAGTCTGAGAAAAAGCTCAGGTTTTCTGACCAATCTGCCTAAAAAAGGCCTTCAATCTAAAAGAAAGTGACATAAAATAAGCAATGGGGAATGGAGGAAAGGGTGGCAAGACAGCAGTCTTTCAGGAACAAGACTTGAAGTTTTGTCTTCTCTAGTTCCCGTGCAACTTTCCTTTGCTTTTTCTCACTTGCCATGTTTTCCCTTCCTTCCGGACAAAGCCAAGCAGCCGCTGCTTAACCCAAAGTCATCCATGCATTTTCCTACTGCCTCTGGTAGCTCATCTGGCTGATACCACAGGCTGGAAGTGCCCTCATTTGTTATTGGGGTCCTTGCTGGACTGCCATGGCCATTTGAGTGACACTTCTCCAGGAGCAGGGAGCCTGCCTGGGGCCGTGGCTGCGCAGGTGGGATCAACGGGTGGGAGCACTGAGGCTTCACATGCCTACCTGCCCTGCTCCCAGGCTCAGTGAGGATTATTGTTTCAGAAGAGTTTCTGTCCCTCCTAGCTGGTGTGAGAGCTTCACCAGCCTGTCAGTCTATTGGGAGAGTTTAACCTGAAGCCAAGACTCTACCTGCTTCTACAGACAGGCTTCCTACTGCTTTGGTGATTTAAAGGCGGTAACAGCAGGAGAGCATTAGCAACACATTAACTGCAGGGTAGAGATTTGCCATCACTAGCTCATTCACAGTTTGGAATAATCAGTATTGCTTCTATGTGTTTGGGATACTATGAATTAATTAAATGTTCAGGATAATTTGCAGTCTTTAATTTTTGCTGTCTGACTGCGAGCCCACAAGCGGCCCTGTGATCTCAGTTACATCATTCCGGCTCTCGCTGAGAACAGCTATTGACTTGAAAGGCCAAGCCTCTTTGGTAAAGCAGCATGACTTTCCTGTTCAAGGTAAATATTTCTCCAGTACAAGGTTTTATTTTTTTTATTTCTCATGGCAGGCTGTAAAAATGAACTTGTGGAATTTAAGTGACTAATTACAAGTTCTTATTATCCAGATTGTGAGCCATAATGTGCAGTGATAGTGATCCTAATTTTTGAATAAAGATCAACTGGATCAGCTTCTTAAAATTATTGTAGCCTTCCATAAAGCAAGGAACTGTTACTTTTCTTACAGACAGGAGCAGTAGCGTTCACCCTGAATACCACAAGTATCTGAGGCTGATTCATGGAGAACAAGAATATCAACAGACCGTCTCTAATTTCATACTACTTACAAAAAGCACATTCAGCATTATTCCTATTTATAATTACTCCCAGCTAAAGATTGTTAATTCAGAAATAGTTTACACATCTTCACTACATGTCTTTTTCAGTCACCTGCCCCTATCACCTTTATAATACAGAAAGTATGAGACAATTAATGAATGAGCTTTATCACCTCCAGGGGTGAGGAGCAGAGGTACACCCAGAAGGACCCTGGTGCTCAGAAGAGTACCGGGCTGTGGAAA